TCGTCTTCAATTATTGATTCATTTGTTTATTTTAAAAATTTCAAAACCCAAGGAAACAAAACACTGTCAACTGTCATTATCACTTTAACATGAGGATATCTGCACATCTGTAGTGTCACCAGATATGCTGTCATAAACAATTAAAAAAGGACAAATATGAACAGATTAAAGATATTTTCACCAAACATAATTTTGGCCTGTTATTTTTATATCTTAACTCAAGCTTCTCTGTAACAAAAACATATTTTTTAAGATTGAAGCAAAAGTTTCTGTAATGATAACTGTCGAGTTATGTACAAGCGCAGTTCCAAAAAAGTTGGGACTCAAAAATGTAAATAAAATCAGAATACAGTGACTTGCAAATGTCATAAATCGAAATTTTATTAACATTAGAGTATAGAAAAATATTAAGACATTTTACTATTTTTCCCTTTCATGTATGAATTATGACATCTTTAGGCATGAAAAGATGAATAAAAATACTTAAGTAAAAAATCCTGATTGAGGTTGTCATAATTCATGCATGACAGGGTTAAATAACAATAATTAAACACATCATACATCTATAGTAGCATTAAACAACCAGTGGGTGGCAGGGTATGGAGTGACACATCACTGTCCAATGTAGTGGTTTATGTGCAAGTATACCATCAGCACTGACACAAATACAAGAAAACAGACTTTGAATAGCTGTCCACTATAGTGACCACTATGCACGAAAGGGTTAAATGAAAATATTCGTTCATATTGTATTTGATGAAAACAACACATCTGAAAAAGGTTGGGCCTTGTTTACCGCTGAGTAGCATACTGCCATCTTTTAACAACAGTCTGTAAACGTCAAGGAGCTGAAGGAGAAGAGCCGACGGACTTTTGGAAGAAGAATGGTGTCATATTTTTCCTCTCATGATGCTCCGAATGGGTCCAGTTGCCTTACTGGTCTGCAACTGGACTCTTAATCTGTGCTGCTGTAACAGATGTAGTATGCAGTTTAGCACTGTATAGTTGGAATATGTGAGACTTTCCCTTAAAAAGACATTGTCTGGATGGGACCATATGCTGCTCTAAAACCTGTATATACCTTTAAGCCTTGATGGCGCCCAAGTGTTCAAACTGCCAATCCCACAGGCGCTGATCCTCCTCCACACCTTCAGAGATTCAGGCTTTTGAACTGAGCATTGATAACCGATTTTAAACACAGGTTTTGGAGAGTGGTGAAACTCTGCCTCTCTTAAGTTGCTCTTTTTGTACCCAATCATCTGAGCTGTTGCTAAGTAACCCAATTAGCTGCACAATGTTCCTGCAATGGTTTCTTTTTAGTACCACTCACTTGTCCACTGTAAATATTTCATGTTTTCTGTGTACTATTGTGAATGAAATATGGCTTAAAGAGATTTCGAAATAATTGCACAATGACCCAGCTTTTTTTTAAGAGTCGTACATATTTTGGAAGGATTTTTGGCATCTCAGCTGCTGGAAATGACTTTAGGAGTCATTTCTTTGCACTGAAGACACAATTTAGTTTTCTACAGCTGCTTAGAGTTACCATTCTTGTGCCTATGTGGTAAAAAAAACCAATATAAAGACTGTAACCAGTTAGTGTCGTTTTGCGTAAAGACTCGAAGCAGCAGGAAACAGCGAGCCTCGTCCTTTTAAAAATTTTAAAATAGAATTAGTAGGATCTCTGCTTAAGTTTTTAACGTAACCTGTGATTATGCTTTATTAAATTGTGGTTAAATAATTATTGCCTATAAAGTAATATTTACTATTTTCTTTGGTTAATTTACTTATTTACTTTTATTTAATTGCATTTATTCAGTCCTGCTCACCAATAAAATGAGCTTTTCCTTTAGAGTGTGAACTAAACCTTTTTTTTATGATCTGCAGTGCATTTATGAAAACTCCATATTTCTGCAGAGGACTCATCTGTCTAGGCCGGGTGTGCCTATGTGGTAAAAAGCATGCCTGTATGCTTTCTAAGGAGACCCACAGGATTCACGCAGGGGAGGAGTTTTAGTGTATTTGAGCCCTTTTTTTTTTTTTTGGAGGGAGTTTGCACTGGGAGCTCAGTGGGGAGGGTCCCAGAGTAGTTTTTATGCCTCTGCTTTCATTCACTGGTTGCTCAGTGGCCCTTGATCAGCCTCGATTTAACTGCTGCCCGGCTGGCTAACAGGTGGTGCTTTGAGGAATCAGCACTGTTGCAACAGCCAGCACCATGTGGAGGAGGCTCCAGACTGCAACGCTGCTCCTCATCCTCTGCTCCGGGAGCCTGGAGGCCTGGTTCTGGAGAAGCACGGATGAAGAAACAAAGACAGAAGCGGTTACGTTTGATGCTACCACTTTAACCACTCACACTGTAGCAATGATCACCAGTACAAAGCAGGTGGAGGAAGGTGCTACTACTACTACTACCAGCAGTGTAATGATGGAGGAGGAAGGTTCTACTAAGACTGCCGCTGGTGCAAAGGTGAAGGAAGAAGAGGAGGATGACAACTTGTCCGGGGTTGGGGAAGAAATCATCAGCGTGGCCACAGGCATCCGTAAGTTTGTCGAGGCGTGGGATGCGACCACGACCACCTGGACTGTTAGTGCCGGCCTGACGGAGAAGACGGAGAAGTCTGACGTGACGATGAAGCCAGGCAGGTTCTCGGGGGAGAGGGTGGAGGAAGGGTCTGGGGTTGGGGAAGGGGGTGGATTTGAGTCAGACGTGACGATTAGAGGTGGCATTTCTAAATTGAATGGCCCACCCTGTCTCCCCGCGCCCTCTGATTGGCCCGTTTGCAGACAGCCACGCCTTTTCTCGTTGCCCAACTTTTTCAACCACACCTCAGTGGAGGAGGTGGGGGCGGTCCTACAGGAGTGGGCGTGGCTCACAAAAGCAGAATGTCACCACAGCGCAGAGCTATTCCTCTGCCTCCTCCTGACTCCCAGGTGTCCATCCCCCGTCTCTTACCTGCCCTGCCGCAGCTTCTGCCACACACTGCAAGACAGCTGCTGGGCGTTCCTGGAAAACGGGCGTCTCCCAGTGGAGTGTGACCTCCTGCCTGAAAGAGCTCATGAGCCCGGGCGTCCGGTGTGCGTGTCAGTTAGTAACTGGAAAGGTAACCGCGGCGGGTTAGAATGTATCCTGTGTGACGATACATTTTGAATCCGGAGCGTCTATGTGTGTTTGTTTTGGTGTCCAGCTGCATCATTGTCTTTGCCCATCACATGATTCACTTTAAATGTGATTTTGCATGTTTTTACCATTTTAATGTGATCATATAGAGCCCATAAAGTACTCTGGCTCATGTGACTACAGGTGCTATACATTACAGTTTCACATATATTTGACCCCCTACCATGAAACCACTGGTGGGTTTGTTTTATTAGAGGAAGATAATGACCCTCACATTTACTGGGGTTCCAGCTAATGATATTTTTTTAATTATTTTGTTGCTTGTAAGAAATTTCAATTTTCCAAATCACAGGATAAAATTATTAAATGTCTTTTTTTAAATCCAGAACCCCAAATATATGAATTATTATAATGTAAGGCTGTAAATTCACAAGTTTTAGAAACCATCATCATCACTTTTTAAAAAATCTAGGATCAAATTACTGAAGTATAGTCAATAAAGTATTCTGTTTTGGATATTGTCACAATTAATGCACAAGAGCATTCGTCATCTTAAAAAAAAAAAAAACTGTTATATTCTGGTGCCTACATTACCCATAATGCAACATCAGTTTGTTTTAGAAGATCAGGTGTAGTAAGTTGCAACTATGTAGCTCACAGTCTCAAGCAGGGTTCAGTTCGGGCTTGACAGTCTTCACACGTCTCTTTCTGAGGTCACAAAGGGCTTTAGTCAACTTTCTTACATCCAGATTATTATCAAAGTAAACTTTAAGTGCAGTTCCATTTGATCAACAGTATATCAAAAATGAATGAAGGCATCATATTCACTGTAATAAATATCGAAATTCTGTCATAAAGAGGACCCAGAGTACCAAAAAAAGGTTTATCATATGATCAATTATTTGGCGGTTAGTTAATCAAGTTAGGTATGTGAGGTGCTAATGTTTTTGGTATATTTTATATTTATCCAAAAACACCCCAAAACATATCTAAATGTAAATTGTAATAATTAATTATTAACCCTTTAACACCTACCATAGAACCAACTGTTTCCAGCAGTGCAATTTGAGTTCTAAGCATCCCAGAAACTATAAATAAAAGCATAAACTCAAACACGACTTTTAAAAACACCAGTGTAGGCTTATAAAGCCCCGAAAGTAAAAAACTACATGCGAAAATGACGTCACTTCTGGTTTCAGGCAGGTAATGGCGGACATGCAATAGTTTGCGCTGACGTCTGTTCCAACGTAGGAAGTGTTATGAACAGCTGATTAGATCGGCAAAGCGTGCTTCTGGAATATTATGTTTTTGTTATATTAAGTGCTTTTTGTGCAATTTTTGCAAAGCTATATGTGGAAGGAAACCGTGACTTAGGACAAGTTAATGGCATAAGATGTAACTACAACTCCTCTGGTTTCAAAGGTTTTTTTGCAGTTTGCAAAGAAAATTATTGTGCTAGCTTACGTGGTTCCAGTTCTACAGGGATTTAAAAATAGTTACGCAAAACGGAGCGTGCCCGCTCCGACCGGTTTTAAAGGGTTAATATACTGGTAAAAATCAACTGAGAAACTACCAACACACATAAACACTGTATATATTGTATGTATGTACACTGTATGTATTCAGTATACACTGTCATGTTGACACATGTTGCCTACATAATTTAAAAATATAGATGATTATCTTTATTTTTCATTTTCTAATTTTTAATGTATTATTTAGGCGGTTTTGGTCCTCTGTATTTTAAAGTCAGAAAAAAGCTTGCAATTTGGAAGATGGGTTTGATTAATGTTAAATACACACTTTTTGTAAATCAATGGTCAAAACATGCAAAAACATTGATGTTGGAACTGCTGAAGTGGCTGTGGTGTCACTTTCTCCCCTGACGCATGATAAAACACCTGAGTTCACGCCGTTGTCGCCAGGCTGCATGCAGCAGTTCATGTTGTTGTCTTGTCTCCTGCAAACGAGGCATTTTTAATGTGTAGAGTCAGTAGCAGTCAGCAGCGGCATGCCTGCTATTTGTTTGATGGTAGCTGCATCTTTTTTATGACACTTAAATCTATTCTGGTCACGTTAGATGTTTATACTGTAAACTAGAAATCATATATACACTAGGTTAGAAACTTTTGCAGTGAGTATAAACCCTGACAAATATATCAGAGGCTCTTGTTCAGCCTTTTAATGTCTTAATGAATTTAGCAGCACATGTCATTGGCTGGACATTCCTGGGGTTTTTTAAATTAAAACTTTGACCTCTGCCACATGAAAACCTTCTTCATTGTGTGTTTCCCGCGGGAATGCTTACTGCAAATGTTTGAATGACCTTTACAACAACTTGTGGCTTTAAAACACCAACACAGCTATGTTTCACCCCACAGCAGACTCCTGAATCTGCACTGCAGTACGTTTTGGAGACTTTGGTTCATGCATGCAGCCAAGCTTTTGCACTGTTTTTGCTCGGGGTGTACGGGTTATAACACGTCCCTGTGGTTGTCAGTCAAACTGTTTATTGCCTGTGATTTTCCAAACACCTGCACAAGGGATGACAAAAGGGTTAAGGGAGCCTACATTTGATCAAAAGCACTCAGTATAAGCTCTCAGTCGTGATGTTGTCTTTACATTTAGATGTAGGTTGGTTTCTCACAGCAGGCAGTAATCCTTCTATTCCTCCCATCACATCCTACTCCTGCATGCCAGCCATGCTTTTCTGTCTCGAGTTATCGTGTCATCATTTCTAATCAGCTGGTGTGTTATGTAGATTTACAGATGGATGGCGTTTTATAGTTTCCCAGATGGAGAGGAAACAATCAGGCTGTCTGTGGTGGCAGTGGCGGTGGAAGTGGGGAGAAGCTTGTGGAAGGTATTTTTGATAACCGCTGTGGGTGGGAAAATGGTCTGCTCCGAGAGATTGAGTGTGACGATTGTGCGGTCGGTTTGGGAGAAAGGGCGGCGGTCTTGCGGTCGGTAACAAGAGAGCGTTGTGATGGGATGAGACGGGGAGGCTTGCAGTCTCTGCCAGGAGGGCAGAGGGCACGACAGTCACCCACCCTTTCACCCAATCACACTTGATGGAATGCAGTCGAGTGTTTGGGACACCATTAGAAGATGAGCAGAGATTCAAAACGAGGCACAAGTATGAGAAAGACTTTTATGTGAGTGGGGAAATACTGGGTCTTCAACTTGGAAGCAATTTAAATGCATTTTGGACCATTTATGTGTCATTTATAGTGTCTCAAACTGACACTGAGTCACTTCCATTTGTTTAAAGTTCATCTTTTTCCAGCTGATGCTGAGGTTCAAGAGGCCACGCCCACCCTGGAGGGCCTCTGGGTTCCCCTGCTGCATGGTTAGTGCTCAGAGACGGCAGTTTAATGAGCCGGTTGTGAGCTGCTTGTTTATCATTATTTCTCCTTTGCTGCTGATTGGTTCCCTTATTAGTTCCCAAAAAAACACAAACAGTCTTCAGTCCATAAAAATAAAAAGTAGTGCCACCAGCAGTCCAAGCTTTAAGCTTTCAACATCACTGAAAAGAAAAGCAAAAAATTTTTAAGTGGCCTGAAAGATCAGTCTTTGCTATTTGCTTTCACGCTACGCTGTTGGCGACCAGCTGAAGAATACGACAAATTGACAGATGACTTGGCAGTAAATACATTAGAGAAAGGGTGTCAAACATAAGGCCCGGGGGTCAAAATCGTCCCGGCAAAGACTCCCCTCATGTAATTAACCATTAAATGACAGATAATGCATAAAAATGTTTTGAACGGGTTTTTTTTTATATATTAACAAAAAAAACCTTGGAGTGTGGGAGTCTGTTAGAGAAGGAAACTGGAAACAGTCTGCAGGTAACTGTTAGAAGCAACAAGCTGTCAAAAATGTATTAGAGCAGTTTGCTTTATCAAATTATATTTTCTCAGTTTTCAGATCTGTTTTGTAATAATTCCCTAGCTTTGCCTTCCAGCACATAGTTTTTCTGCACTTTTTCCTCTTTTTAAAAGTCAGATTTGGTGCTTTTATTGAATCCAGTTTTCAGTACATTCATTCTGTGTGTCATTCATTTTTGCCCTACTTCATGCATTTAACACATGTATCACGACAGCAACGGTTAACGTTTGACCCTGTAGCAAATTGGAGAGTAAGAGGGCTAGCACAGACTTATATAAAAACAATGAAATATGGTCCTGTTAGCAAAACGGATGATGAAATAAATAAATCATGCATTTCGACATGTGCTGCAGGCTAAATTTATGAACCAGTGGTACCTGTCACCGTTCATACTTCTCAAATTCTTCACATAAACAAATTTGTTTTGGAGGGCAGCCAAAAACCCGAGCTTTTCAGCTCTTCTGCCTCTTCAAGGAGGAAGATGTGAACAAAAAGAAGAATCCAGCTGATGTCATCTGAGCTGCACCGATCCCCCCTCAATCAACTTTAATTGGCTCTGGGCTTTGGGCTCATTCAGACGTGGATTAGAGTCTAAGCGGGGATCAGAGGCTGGGTGAAGGTGTCACAGGCTCCATTTGAAGAGTTAACTGATGCCACAGCCGAGACTCAGTGCAATTAACAGCCCGAGTCTCAGGCCAGCTGTGTAAATGAAGTGTTTGGTGTGTTTTACGATAAAGAGTCCTGGGTTTTATTCTTACCCACGTCCTCAATTCTCCAAATCAAGACCTGCAGATTTCTGCTGCAGATATATTAAGATCTGCTTTGGGAATACCAGGACAATGGCATAATATTCCTCATGCAAAACACTGAAATTACTGAAATTGTTCAGACACAGTAGATGCTTTGGTGTAGTTATTGAAGGCAGATTGAGTTGCTTTTGCAAGTAAAGGACATTTCAGGTCAAGCAGAAGAATGAGGGTGTAGTTTCCTACATTTTTCTCTATTTTAGGCCACTTTAACCATCACATGCTTGCATTACTTTGTCCGTTGTACTTTGTAATTTAAGCACACAGTGTGGTTACATTGACTGCAGTAACACTGAGGCTTAGGCGCAGATTTTACAGGATAGTATAAACTCTTCTTATGCTCCCCCTCCAGGATGAGGGAAGGTCTCTGCACTGCTAACCCTCTGGAGAAGTTCATTAGTTACACTGTGACATTTCTGCATGTTTTAACTGGCGCGTTGAGTCAGTTCGGGCTGCTGGCCCGTCCACTTTGTCCCATTAACAGTCCCTCATGGTCCACTTTCCCATGGACAGTTGCCGTGCATTTCCTCCCTCCCGCCCTCTGTCTGTCCATCTGTCAGTCCGTGCCTCTTCTCATTGCCTGTGTCTTTTTCTTCACACGCTAAAACAGGCAGGCGTCGGATTTCTCTGGAGTTACATGTTGGAAAATACAGACATGGCACCCCAGTAATCCCCTGTAACCAAGAACATGAGGTCATTAAGGCCGCGAAACACTGATGTGGGCTGTTCTTGCATACAATGGGGACTGTTAGCGTGGAGAAAGGAAGTCAGAAATGAGCTTTCTATGATTGGTTTCAACAAAAAAATCAGTATTTCATTATTCGACGGTGTCCCATGCAGAGATCTGAGCTGATGAGCATAAAAAAACAATTTGAACAGCTTAACGTGAGGAGTTCCGTCATGAACATAATTTACTGTCCAATTTGCAACAGTTCTGCTCATTGCACACGCCAAATTTCTGTGGTTTTAGCTTTGTTTGTTTGTCATTATGACTTATATAAAACAGGCAGGGCTTCACTTCCTTAAATGCACAAATCAAAATGTAGCAACATTTGAATCAAACTTTGTTTTTTTTCTTTGCCAATCCAATGAAACTGCATTTTTTTCATGTTTTTGATAAACTCAAAGTTACGTTTTATATATATTATGACAAACACCATCCACTTAGCACACCTTAAACACACTAAGGTGTGCTAAGTGGCATAGATTCAAGAAGGTTCTGGAAACATTCCTCACAGATTTTGGTCCATATGGACATGTGATGCATGTCAAAGTGCCACGGACACAAGATCACATCCACAATGAAAATCTTCTGTTCCACCACATCCCAAAAGTTGCTCTATTGGACTGAAATCTGGTGACTGTGGAGGCCGTTTGAGTACAGTGAACTTATTGCCATGTTCAAGAAACCAGTTTGAGATGATCTGAGCTTTGTGACATGGCGTGCTATCATCAGAAGATGGTACACTGTGGTCATAAAGTGATGGACGTGGTCAGTAACAACACTCCGGTAGGCTGTGGTGTTTAAACAATGCTCAGCTGGTACTAAGGAGCCCACAGTGTGCCAAGACAATATCCCTCATATTATCACACCACCAGCAGCCTGAACTGTTGATATAAGGCAGTATGGATCCATGCTTTCATATCGTTTGAGCCAACTTCTCACCCTCCTATTAGAACGTTGCTGCAAAACTCAGACCAGGCTACGACTTTCCAATCTTCTGTTGTCTGGTTTTGGTGAGCCAGTGTGAATTGTAGCCTGAGTTTCCTGCTCTTAGTGGTCAAGAGTGGTCTTCTGCTGCTGTAGTCCATCTGCTTCAAGGCTGGACATGTTGTGCATTCAGAGATGCTCTTCTGCATTGCTTGGTTGTAACGGTTAATGTTGCCTTCACATTTTTTACCCAGACAACTGCCGCTCAGTGTGGATCAGCAGTTTCTGAAATAGTCTCAAATGAATAACTGTGCCACATACAGAGTCACTTAAAATCACCTTGCATCATCATTCTGATGCTCAGTTTCAACTTCAGCAGGTAGTCTCGACCATGTCTACATGCCTAAATGCATCGAGATGTTGTCGTGTGAGCAGTTGATCAGGTGTACCTAATAAAGTGTATAATAAAGATAATTCTGGGTATATATGATAACTATTCCGTTATTAAATGGAAAAACAAATACTAAAGTTGGGGAAGATAGACACTGGAGATAAATTATGAATTAAATACTCCATAAATACAGCAAAGATCGAGTGGTGCTTTGATTCTAAAAGAAAGGAGGAACATTTTCATTATTTTTCCTCTTCCTGCTTCATTTGACACAATGCTGTGCAGGTTATTTTATCCTCTTGATGCTATGACATACAAAACAAAGTTTAACATTCATTCAGTGCAAATTTATTCCTGTAGAATTTAATGAACATATCTTACACATGGAGACTCCTTTCCCCTTAGCTCAGCTCATTGTATTGAAACTATGTCAAACTGCACTGTCCCTTTTTAATAAGTAATTAAATATATGTATTGCTTTATACATAATATTTTGTGCTTTATGAAATCAAAACATGTTTAAAAGTTTTTTACAATGTCTGAAGAAGTAAAATGATATAAAATCCTGCTAGGAAAAACTCTAAAAATAAGCATGTTTCTTATTCCCTGTTGCTTCCTCTGCATTCTCACAGGGAAGAAACAGAAAGAAATTAAGAGCCTGAGACTAGATTGCAGCCCAGATAAAGAAATTTGAAAACTTTGCGTAATTGTTATGTAATGGTCTTGTAACCACAGTGCTAATGGCTTGCTGGCAGACATTAGCCTCCCTCATGGGAGGCTTCGCTGTTACTGGGCTGTAGAGTTGGGTTAGTGGGAGAGCTGTGGTAAAACCAGACAGCTTCCAGATGTGAACATGTATGGAATTAGAGTAGGGGCCTCCCTTGAGAAATTCATTTTCAGTTTACCATTTTTGATTAACTGTAAGTTCACATTTATGCTGTCATTTGTCATTTTCTGAAACTGCATAAATATATACCACTATATGGTTTAGCTCACACAACAGCTGCAGCAGCTGTGCTGCCTTGAGAAGAACCAATAGCAGGTGCCTTCACTGAGAAGCCCTCCACCCTGCCAATCTCAAGCTCCAGTTGGATCAAATCCTATAATCCCAGAGGAGCCAGGCTTCTTGTAGCTGCTGCGCAGGTCGAGAGACTTTACAGGCTGACAGCAGTTAGTCATGATCTGATTGTCCTGTTACTATCCATGACGGCAGCATAAGCAGGTGGAAGGCAAACAAACCCCCCAAAGGGAAAAATAAGGTGGCTTAAATGGCATCAAATATTGACCACACGTGAACATATAAAATTCACATCACTAAGAAATGTGGGAAACCCCTACTACTGATGACCTCTGTACGCCTTTAATGCACAGATTGCACTTGTGCAATGGCAGGCCTCAAACCCTATCCTGGTCAAAAAAAAAATGCTGCTTCTCCCCTGTGAGGCTGATTTATGAGAATGTAAATCTGCTGCTTCTCATTTCCCTTTTGGGCTATTTTAGTCTGTGGGAATTGAAACTCAAGCAGTTTTTCCACTAATGTGCCCCACTCTCGAAGTCTCAGAGTGTGTCCTATAAATGCCTTGTAGCCATGTTTTTTTTGGGAAAGTTTTGTTCTTAAATCACCCTCATTGCTGAATTTGGGATCTGTGGTTTTAGCATGTGACCCACAGTGTCAGTGCACTTTTTGGTTTGTTGTTCCAGACATGGGATCTTCAAGGGTCACTTCAGTTAGCAGCTACTTTTGCAGCAGACTCCTAACTCTATGAATCTTACAGTGAAAAGCACTTGTGAAATGTATGCCTCCTCACCCAGCAAAATCCAGTGTTAGAAAACAGTCAAACACCTTTAATGTGCCAGAAGTATTTGAATTTGCCCACTTGTAGCATTTAAAAATGGGCAACTGTGTAAAAAATGACTAGAATAACTTTACAATAACTTTTTTTAAGTCCTTGAATTTAATCTGAATCACATCTTGATCATTTGATTTACTGTGGTGGTGTACAGAAGCAAAATTGCAAAACAAGTTGCCATTGTCCAAAAACTTGATCGTATACATTGGTTTAAGACCAGAAAGCTGACACACTCAGGAAATAACCAACAAGAACTAGTGAAAAACGGTGTCAAGTAAGTGTAAGGAAAAGCTTTCATTTTGAAAGTAAAGGGTTTCCTTTTCTGTCTTCACAGTTTAACTACTGCTTAGTGAGTAGTAGCTGAGTGTTTGCAAACAAGCTGGTCTTATCTATGCAAGCTAGCAAACTGTGGCTGTTTGCTAGCAACCAAAGCAATCGCAAAGAGTTTTTCAGTCCAGCCCCATGTACCTCTGTGCAACCAATTTCACCTAGCACCTGCTATCAGCCTGTCAGGAAATACACATTTTCTCTAGTTCCATCAGATTCAGCAGATATTTACATGTTTATGTGATAGCCTTTTATAATGGACACAGTAAACATGCTATGCTAGTGGCAGCTTTGAGGAGCACAGCTCGTTGGGTTGAGGTTTTTTTGCCCTCGCCATCTTGCTGTCTTGAAACACGACGCTGCTTGGGATGACTATAGGTCATTTTGTTGGCCTTTACAAAAGATGCAGGTTAAAATGATTTTCCAGTGGCTTCACTTTGTAGACCAAGAGGCTACATCTATCTGTGACATGCAGTATACTCACAACATCCCAACAAAAAGACCAGAGTCTTATAAAGCCTTCAACGTTTAATTCTACTGCACAAAGATAATACTGCATCAGTACTATCGGTTCAGTCCCACATATGAGAGTGTAATACTAATTACACTGCCTGGTTTGTGAGATTTTATGTACATTTTTCTTCTTATGAAGAATTTTTACTTGATACTCAACAACATGAATGTCACCCAACTGATATAAACCATTGAAAACAATTTTTTTCAATGGTTGGCAACTGAAAGTCAATTTTCTCTTTCCTATGTGTGCACTAAGTTTTAACTTCCTGCCTCCTCCCTCTCACAGAAGTGAGCGGCATCTCTTTACTCCAGCTGATTGGAGAACCTCCACTACAAGAGTTCACCACCACCTATGGGCCAAATGGGGAGCCTGCCTATCGGTTCACTCCTTCAGTGGTCCCGGGCCAGCGAGCTCTGGTCCATGTTCCCAGCCCTTTCTACCGCCACTTCTCCCTCCTCTTCCATGTCAAGCCCTCCACTCCTGCCGCCTCCATCCTTTTCTCCATCACAGATGCCACCCAGAAGCTCATGTATGTCGCCGTCAAGCTCAGCGCAGTGAAGGCTGGCCGTCAGAAGGTTCAGTTTTTCTACACCGAGCCCGACTCTGAGGCTTCGTACGAGGCTGCCAGCTTTGAAGTGCCGAGCATGGTGGACACCTGGAGTCGCTTCTCGCTGTCAGTCATGGAGGAGCAGGTGGCCTTCTACCATGGCTGCGACTCTGAGCCACAGGTGGTGAAGTTTGAGCGCTCGCCGGATCCCATGGATCTCGACCCTGCATCAGTACTCTTTGTGGGTCACGCGGGAAGAGCTGACAATGGCAAGTTCCTGGTAAGTGGATCCACAGATTTGATGTTCCTTGGTGATAACCAACCTGTAGGCCTTTGTGACTGGGACTTCAGCAATCATTTACTTTGGGACTGCCAGCAACCAGTCCAGAAATATTCATCTTTCCATCTTGGCTTTTGGTTGTTAGATGGTCACTGACCGGTCCCTGGGCCTGTGTGACTGGGCCTTATTCCCCTGATCCCACACCGTCACCATGATTCTGTCACGTCAAAAATGGCAGCCAAGTTAACATCACATGGTTAATGGTCACATGTCTCAAAAATCTTAGTAGGTTGAGTAGTAACAATGACAACATCATATTTATTGAAGGCTACATGAAGTCCAAAAATGAATGAAGAAGATTTCAAGTATTTGAAAGTTTTAACTGATGCTGCTCTTACTCAGGTCTGCTTTGAAACACAGCTGATAGATTCTTAACATGGTTTTTACTGAACGCTGCTTAGTGATCAAAAGAAATAAGTAATAACAATAAAACAGTCTCTGTATGAGTTACTTTGTAGCTCATGCAGTTTTGCCATGATTATTAATTTTGTTCGTTGGGTATAAATGACTAGAGGGTGACTCATCCAAGCCGTGGCTTAGCCTGCCTACAGCGGCTCATCTTGTTTGTAGATTGGACTGGATCACTCTACCTGATCCTGTGAGTGGAAGTATTGACCTACAGTCATCCATTTACCCTGCAAAATCCACTAATGGAAAATGACCTTTGCAGTTCCTCAAAGCGTTTGAGAAGAGTAAGTTGTAAATTAAAAAGTGAGCCAGGTCAAAGGTCACCAGTGACCATTATTCTTTTGGAAGGATCCTTTCAGCAGAACTTGGTTGACAAAAATCGCATTTTTAAGATTTCTTGAGTATCAAAATAATTCATATACAGTTACACGTACATTTACATATATGCTGCAGACAGGAAATGCTCATGGCTAATTCAGCATACTTTCAGTTGCTCCAACACACAAATAAATGTGCTAAAATAAAGATGCCAGAAAAGATTCCTTCTTTATGTGTTGAGGATTTGATCACTATCAATATTTAGGAAATATGAAAGTTTAACGCATTAAGAATTGGACAAGACAACATGATGCCACTCATCTCAGAAATAAGCATAAAGCTACAGCAATGCTATAAAACAGGAAAGACAAATTATCACTTTTAAACACTATAGTTTTTGTTTTATACAACAGTGTGGTGCAAAAGAATGAGACGCCTGTTTTGTACGCATAATCTCCAGGGTACCAGCAGAGGAAATGCTAAAGAGATGTTTCACAGTTCTGACAGGAAAAAATGAAAAACAGCAACGAATCCTCCTCCAGAGGTATCTGGGAGTCTGTTCTTTCTTGTCTGTGACGTCTCCCTGCGGCACTCCGTCCAGGGTTTGTGTCATTAACAGGAGGAGGTAGTGCCACCTTTAACCTCTGAGACAGGGACTCTGGTGATCATATGACTCTCTTTGAAGTGGAGAACTGTGGAAGAAATTAAGATGGCTGCAGTTAAAGCTCATAAAATCTGCATGCTTCTGATAATACCTGTGGTGGGATTCACTGTCTGTGTGTTTTAGGGTGACATGGCAGACCTGAGACTGGTGGGAAACCCTCGGTCAGCTGAGCGTTTATGCGACTATGAGGACGACTCTGACACTGTGAGTTCTTGTGTTTCCAATATTCCAGTCAAACCACCAGAAGGCTTTTGTGAAACACAGTTTTGTCTCTGTATCGCAGGGCTCTGGTGACTATGGCAGTGGCGACGGCGAGAGGAGGCAGATGGGAGGCAGCGTGAAGGTCTGTATGAGCTTTGTGGATGTCTTATATGAACATACAAGAGTAATTTACAGTCTCTGAAATCATCTCAGCTCGAGATGTATTTCAAGAGCAACAGCAGGGCCTAATTGCATTATGGGAATTGTAGGCATTGAATTGCTTATTAAGGGCTTTCTGGAGGTCTCTCAAAGTTTTCTTTAGACATTAGCTACTTTTTAACAGACCATTATCAGAGGAAACTTTTTTGTTTGCTAAGCCATGTAACACTGACCTATGAATCATTCAAGCTTATGAAAAGGCACCTAACTGAAGGGATGAACCAGTGTTTTGTCTATACATAACAGACAATTTGTATCTTTAGTCGTTGCTACCAGCCTGTCGCAAAAACATATCACTTGTTCCCATTTCTTTAGTTGAATCTATAAAAAACTCCAAAGATAACAGTTTCACAGACATAAACTAGTATTTATTTTTTTTGTAACGACTAAATGATTCCCAAAGAGCTATTAGCTCAACGCATCCTTAAAAGATCTGAGGAAAATGGACAATTGGAGGACAAAAAGAGAAATGGCAGCCCCAAAAAGATACCTGCAGCAGATGAACAGTATCTGAAAGTCAAGTCCTTAACAAACTGTTCACTGAAGCATCATCAGAGATGGTCTCAGTGAAAAGGTGGCTGTCAAGACGCTTTTCTTGATAAGGAGAAAAGGCTGAGGTATGAAAATTACACTGGACTGGACTGAAAATCAGTGGAGACAGGTTTGATGGAGTGATTAACCCAAATTTCAGTTTTTGATTTTGATTTGTCAGTATGTACAGGGCAGGTTGGAGGGAGGTGCAACACTGAGTGTCTACAGCCATCGTCAGTGTTTGAGCTGCATCTCAGCCAGTGGTGTTGGAGATCTTTGTCAGAACTGATGAATTACAAACACAGAAAAGTGCCATCAGAGTTTGAGCCACCATGCAATACCATCTAGAAAGAGTCTGATTGACAAAAGCTTCATTTTTCAGCATGACAGTGATCCCAAACACACTGCCAATGCAGTAAAAGCACACTCACTGCACCCAAGAGTTTCCAAATGTGGAGCGATCATTTGGCTTAACATTATTTAGTAGTAGTTTTTGTTTTTAATTTATGGATCTCTTTCAGTTAAATCTCTTTTGCAGTGAAATATTTTTACACTAGGATCCTTTATATATATGGGAGACCATAGAGAATATCAAAAACAGTTGGGTGAACTTAAAAAACACACATATCCTAAAACATCATTAACACATCAGCTGGTAACACACTGCTCCCTAGTGGTGAACATTTCATTTAAACTTTCAATTTCAACTGAATGCAAATTATCTGCTTTCCACCACCTGGTGGAAGTATTTGTCTGCTCTTGTGCACAAATATTGTCTGAAAATTACATATAAATGTAGATGTACATGTGATGAGGCTGCATTCCATTATGTGAATTTCCAGATGTTTAAAACTGTTGTATTTGTGTCCCGTTCCCCCCACAGACCACCCCTCCACCTTTCCGTCCACTGGCTGAACCTCCGCTGATTTCCTCACACATGAACACACTCGCACAAACAGGTAAAGAGAAAGTGTGTTAATTTATAACTACAGAGCTTAAGCGTGCTCTTCCAGGACTCAGCATGTCACTGCGCTGTATAAATGTGTAATGGAAGTTTTTAATCATGCAGCAGGCGCTGGCAAAGAAACATCATGTAGACATTTTTAAGCCAGAAAAGTTTACGTCAGGTTGCCTGTCTGGACCCGTGTGAGGAGATTGCTGCAAGGAGTGTGTATGACTAGAAGTTCTTTAGCTCCCTCTAGTGGATGATACAAGAAGTAATTTCTCTTTGAGTGAGTTGCTCGTGAAATAGGAACGTTTCTTTCTCCGTCACGCCACAAACATCTTTCATGAGTTCTCCGAGCAGCAGGTAAAGGTATGTTTGTGTTCAGATGTCTGGTATCAGCCCTCCGTGGAGTACAGCAGGCAGGACTTCAGCAAGCCTGGATTATTAGGCTCAAGAGGTGGGTTGCAGGGGGCAAAAGGGTCCTGATAATGGCTGGCAGCACATCAGATTAGGATCATGTCCTAATCAATCTGTGGCCTTCCTATCACAGTAAAGAAGGAGCGCTCTGGCTGTTGCTGCTTTCTCATTCTGCTCAGTATATGGGTGGAGGTTGATTGATCATCAGCATCCGCTCAGCAGGCTTCAATGCGATGGTGTCTTAGTTTTGTCCCCAAGAGAGCAAATCTGGATTACTACTGAAGTACCTGAAGTTTGTAGCACAACATCCAACATTATTTCTACTCTGAATAGTCCTCAGGAACTCTGTTTAATCAGATTGGCTTAAATTAAAATCACAGGATGGTAGAAATGACATTTTAAGAGTATAATCTTTATTAAAATCTCTGTTCCAGTCAACTTTGATGCAAAACATAATATAATAACTTATGTTTAATGCTCTATCTGACATTTCTTGAGTAAAACGTTCTGTTGTATAAGTGACGATGGGCAACGCTCATGGAAGTCCAACACTGACAAAATAATGAATGAATGAATAAATGGCTCAAAAAAGTACCATATACCTTAAATATAAAAATACATAAAATAAGATGAAAATTTATTCATTCCATTCTCCTATTTGAACTTTTTTTTAAATTTCTACTTCCTGTTTTTTCTTCTTATTTATTCTTGTGTGTTTTTTATTTGACTGTTGACTTATTTATTTATGTTCCTGTTTTTACTTTATTTTCACTCATTTTATTTAATTTACATGGGTTTTAATTTTCTATTTGTCTTTTTGTTTGTTCATTCTTATTCAGTTTATTTACTTTCATCTTTCTACTATCTCATTGTCTTATTTGTTTACTTAGTTAATTTCTTGTGACTTTGGCAGTTTTGTTAGTCCACAAACAAAACTACTGTAACTTTTTATTGTGAAGCAGGAGAAACTAAACCTACTAGTTTAAATATAAAAAACAGTAAAACATGCATGTTCTGCTTCTCGTGACCTCTTTGGGCCCATAAAGACATTTTGACTCCAACCGTCACCAACAATAGAAAACCACCGTTTATTGTAAGCAGCGCTAATGTGTCTGCTTTAATATTTGTCTCTTTTGTTTCTTTACCAAAAGCAAACTTACAGATCAACATGGTTTTATTTTATTTTTTTATCTATTTATTTATGGTGGACCTGTTAAGTTAAATATAAAACCCTGAAGAAACGATACAGCTAACCTTGAAATGAGAAGCAAGAATTCCTGCTTCCCTCTATAGAACTGATTTCTAAAATAAAATTGGCCTTTTTTGCAGAGAAAAATAAATAGAAGGCAATTTCATTAAAGACTTTTTTTGGCTTTTGCTTTGGCATCTTCTGTGCTTTCATTTTGTGATTATTGCAGTTCCAATTTCACATTTTGCTTCAGGTGATGGTGAAGGACTGTTTGCTGGATCAGCGTGCTTGACATCCATGTGCTATATAAGAGCAGATGATGCATTGATAGTTGCTGGTCTTACATTCACACATATCACATGTGTATTTAAGCATTCTTGTCCTGCAGCACGGTCTAGATATTCCTAACTTGCTAAATTGCTTCAGGTACAATCGGTACTAAAGGTGAAAAAGGAGACAGAGGAGAGAAAGGCTCAAAGGGGGACCAGGGCCCTGTAGGAGCGAAGGGAGATTCAGGTGTCAGCTCTGGCTCTGGTTTCTCTGCACAGGGTGGAGTCCAAGGACAGAAGGTAAGACGCCACTTTGTGTCTGTGAGTGTAGTTTTAGTGACCGTATGGCTGATGCACTCAACTGTTTCTTCCTGCTTTTCAGGGTGAAAAAGGTGAAAAGGTATGTAAAATGTCTGTCCATTTACTCATACACATGCAGTTTGGCTTTTATACATAATGAGCTAAACAAAAATAAGGAGGTCAGCATGTGTACAAATAATCCCTGCAATGCAGAAGCTCAGGATTCAGAAAACTCTAAAATCTCAGTCTCAGAGCCAAGAGTTTTGTTTTTCGCACTCGGCTCTGTCCGGTGTCACATATAGTTGAAAAGATGGCCTTATAGGGGGAGGAGCTAAAACTATTTTGAGTTCTGAATCATTGAAAGCTACTCTGGTCGAATCGAGGAATAAAAACATGTTGGAGATGAGCAGAAAGGCTCATGTCAGAATGAATGAATTGAAGCACAAGAGCAGAAATGTGTAAATCCCGATCAGCCAGGAGCAAAACTTGTGATACAGATTGAATTTGAAATTTTATTCTTGCCATTAGAAATGATAGAAATTATTTCAGGTTCATCCATAACAACATGTTTAGTTTCTGCTGTGAACAGATCTACTGTGTCTCTGCTAGAGAAACTATTCTGATGCCTTTATTATACACATAAAGCTTAAAACTATAATTCACATTTAAATTATGTAAACCTGTAACTTAAGTATTAACTAAGTATTACATTCCTTCCAAATCCAACATTCTCACTCACAGGGTGATCTTGGCAAAGGCTACACTGGTAAAAAAGGAGATCGCGGGGCTCAGGGGCCTCCCGGACCGCCTGGTCCTACAGGACCTGCAGCTGAGGTGGTCCGACTTGGGGATGGCTCTATTGTGCAGCAGCTGGCCGGACCCCCTGGACCACCAGGACCGCCAGGGTTGGATGGGCCTGCAGGACCTCCAGGAGCTGATGGGGAGCCGGTGAGTGCAACGACGTTTAGAGCTGTTCAGTGTTTGGAGGTTCATGTTGCTCAGAGGTTGTTCATTAATCTTTCAGGGTGATCCAGGAGAGGATGGAAGAGCTGTGAGTTTGTCTGTTTTCACATTGAAATATTGCTACAAAAGAAGAATTATTTATTGGCTTTTCCAGATAAATTGATCGAAATATTATCAGTGTAATTTGGGGTTTTTTGCTTCTGTTTCCAGGGTCCTCCTGGGCTGCAGGGTGTTCCAGGAATTCCAGGAGTTCCTGGTGCCAAAGGCGAAAAGGTGCCCTATTTAAGTCATCTGTTTAAAGAAGACACATGGCATTATGTAACGTGATAATCCGTGGTCTTAAAATCCTCCAGGGTGAACGTGGCGAGGGTCAGCCTGGACCCAGAGG